AAGTAGCGTCGTTAGGGATTTTCGGATGATACGTCCTCTTTACATCCTCTTTATATTTTCACGGCATGAACATTTCCTGCAGGATTTCACGAGATATCTCTGGCGGGAGTAGGTAAGAACAAAGGCCAGAGTTATAATTCGAACAAGTGAACATTTATGTACACATATAGATACCAAGATGGAAGCTGTAGGATGTGTATTCGAGCTGTGATGGTGTGAAGTGAAGCGAGCGTTGAGCAAATTTCGCAATCCCTCTTTCCTACCTGCTCTCTTATTCATGTTGTTTGTGCACGCAGCACAGCGCGGGCGGGCGTTCGGTGTACTTGTGTGTTGCAGATGAGCATTTGACCGGCATTTACAGGTGATTATAAGCGAAATACAGTAGAGAAACATTAAGACTTTGGTACATTTCGTGTTTATTTACCTTTTTTTTTTTATTGAGACGTTCCAAGTGCCTGTGCTACTAACGGCAACGCTCATACTCATAATCATACTCATACTCATAGCCATATAGGGTCTATGTCCCAGGTAGATACAATAATGTAACCCAACAAGAGTAGGGTTACAACGCGAGCCTATTCTTTTCTTTGGAGGAGCCCCTGAGTGATTCACTCAGGGCGGTTTTATGGTGCGTTTTTCGAGACTAGAAGTAGAACTTCCAAACTGGGTTTATTCTAAACACGAACCTTTCTCCGCTATCCTGAGCGGCGATATTTCGAGCGCCATTTCTGTTGACCTGTGATGCACGCATTCCCAATGCGCATAGCATTCGGCTAACTTCGGCTCCTGTGTTGCCTGACATGCTGGCTCTGGTGACATCAATCATCATGACTGACCGTAGGCATCCCATGATGCATTCGATCTTGCAGCCGAAGTTAGCCGAACGCTATGCGTAGTGGGTTAGGGTTGGGTTATATTAGTTTAATACAGAGTATTGTGATACATATTAAGTTCCAGGATAGCGGAGAAAGGTTCGTGTTTAGAATAAACCCAGTTTGGAAGTTCTAGTCTCGAAAAACGCACCATAAAACCTCACTGAGTGAATCACTCAGGGGCTCCTCCAAAGAAAAGAATAGGCTCCCGTTGTAACTCTACTCTTGTTGGGTTACATTATTGTATCTATGTCCCAGGGTACTATCGGAGGGTACCCTGGTAACTATCTAATATGCCGGACCGTACCTCGCCTACTCCAAACCGTACCCAGTTTTCAGCCCCCTCGACCGACTGTTGGTAGGAACTTGGAAGCGTACCGCTTTACAGCAATAGTCTAGGCTTTTTCCCGGTACATCTTTCAAAAATCTCGCATGTGCGAAAATGTCGTAAACATTACAAAAGGAAAACGCATTCCCGATCATCGCGATATTTGCAAAAAGATCGCGCGCATCAGTGTATATAGGTTGAAATTTATTCTTGGTTTCACAGTTTCATACTCCAATCCAACTTTATAAAGATATAAAGATTGGCGGTCTGTATATATATTTCAAATGTGGCGACATCAGTAGTGGACGGAACAGGGACAGTCAGGGTACGGTGGGGAGTAAGCGAGGTACGGTCCGGCATATCAGATAGTTACCAGGGTACGTTCCAGCAGTACCCAGAGAGACATAGACCTTATCAGCCCTACTGACACTGTCGGCACGCGTATCATAGCCATGATTGCAAAACACTGTCTGTTTTTATCATGTTTACAAATTGATGCAATAATCTAATCACATATTGCATGTTTATTTTCAAACATTTACAGCAATGGATAAGGATAAAGACGATCATGAAAAGACTGTGGATGTTTCTAGCCATGGTAAAGGTGACAAGAACTTGAAGAAGTTGAGAAAACGTAATAAGAAATTAATGCGGGATATAAGACAGCAGGTATGATTTCTATATGTTCAATCATGTAGCCGAATCGCAGAAACAACTAGATCTTTCATGTGTACGTGTTGCGTATACTGTCATATCATACATTATGCAGGTAGCCGTACCTGGAATAATTGCTTTCAAGTTTCATATATTTCACACATGTTCTTTCATTTGTTACACATTTGTTGACTAACCTATTATGTGTATATCACTAGCTAGACGAGAAGCTAATGTAGTAGGAATTACATTACTATGGGGATTTTAATGATTAATGACAAAGGTCTTAACTTCTTCTTTCTCTTTCTGCAAATAGATGGAATTTTACTTCAGCGATTCGAACCTTGCAAAAGATCGCTTTATGAAGGAGCAGCTGAATAATGCAGAGGATGGATGTATGTATTCTATTGATTTGATAATTTCTCACAATTGTAACATGGAAACATATAACATATATAACAAGAGTAAGACCGAGGTAAAGAGAAACACAGAACGAGAGAAAGATGCACATAGAGAGAAAGAGAGAGAGAGAGAGAGAGAGAGAGAGAGGAGAGAAGAGAGAGAGAGAGAGAGAAGAGAGAGAGAGAGAGAGAGAGAAGATAGAGAGAGACTGAAAGATAGGTGGTAGATATAGCCCATAAGCTATATAGAGAGTCAGTAGGAGTCCAAGAATGGAACATTTATTACATTTATTGGAGTTCATTAGTGCTGTAGATAAATTTGTTTCTATGGTTTTATTCTTTGCTTTATTTACAGATATTGATTTGTCAATATTTACAAGATTCAACAAAATTCGATCGATGACTGTAGACCTCACGGTCTTGGCAGAATCTTTACAAAGTTCTGATATTCTACAGTAGGTCTCACAGTATAGGTATCAGTGCTCGAAATAAGAAAAAAATGTGGTTGTCCGCGGAACCCGGCATAAATGGTTTCCGCAACAATTTCTGGTTGTCCCAAAAATATCCCCAAATCTCCTATTTTCAATCACATAATAATATGATCAGAAAACACCCAAAAACAGTGGCGTAGCCAGGATTTTTTAACAAGGGGGCCGAAAACCAGCAACTGCGCAAAATAGTGATGACTTGATATATTTACTGGCTCCTCCGCTCCCTCTCCAACCCTACGGCTCCTCTACCTCTCAGCTCTGCAATCTTTGTTTTGGGCGCCATGCGAAAAGGCAACATTTTTATTCATTGTTCTCTGCTCCCAAGATATGTAATTGTTCAGTGGCAGGTCTAGGATTCCAAGGAGGGGGGGGGGAACTTGGAAACTTGGGGTTTGCTGGTTCCAAATCAAGTTCACCTCTCATAAATCAGAAAACCTGACATATACCAGTGTTGAAATAGCAGCTGGTCCCATATTTTTATGTTATTCACGATTTAATTCACGATTAAGATTTCTTGATGTGCTAGAAAACACTCGGATTTGAAGTATGAAACTGAACATTATTGTGCCAGCTAGCCTATACCAGTTGGTTGGGATTGATTGTCATTCAGATGCAAAATATTGAAAGCAAAAGGTTATACACCATAGATTAATTGGGTACCACGCGTATATAAGATAGCCGAGTCGGTTTAGAGCAAAGATCGTATAGTGCTGGAGGCACAAGATAAACCAATCATGCGAAATCACGTGCAATGACGTGTAGTACGCAATGGAGCGCCACGTCCGCCATTTTAGGAAGCAAAACCCGCTCCACGTCTGTTTGATACATAGAAATAATATGGATAACCATGGTTAATATATATATATATATATATTATAATATAATGTAATAGATAATATTTTTATGCCAATAGCTGTATCAAATCTCTCATTCAAGTGTACAAAAATCTAACAATGATTCATAATCGGATGTTACTATGTAGTATGTACACAGTGCAGTGGTGTAGTGTCAGACAGTGGTACAGTGCACAGGCACTTCATTGGACCGTCTCAAACAAATAATGGTAAATAAAAAATAAATGTATCTACTATCAAAGTATTAATGTTTCTCTACCCTATTTCCCCTATTATTGTCGATAACTTGCTGTAATCCGTTTAAATGCTCATCTGCAACACACAAGTATGAAGTACACCGCACGTACGCCCTGTGCACAAACAACACTGCCACTGGTACTACATCATGTATCAACGAAGATTGCACAACTCTTTCACGATGGATTTCGACAAAAAAGAATGTTTTCTCACCTTTCCGTATTCTTGGGAACTGAAGAAAGACAGGTCGGGCTTACACTGACGATTCGAGCAATTTACAGCAGAACAGTAAGCTGAGCTGCAGCACACAGCAGACAGTTGCACAGAGCAGATACAGCAGCACATCCGGAACTTCTGTGAAATTGCTTCCTAAAGGCCGCCGCACACCAGCCGATTTTTCACGCGATTTGATCGGCCCGATAGAAATCAGCCGATATTGGGTAGGTGTGCGCGTTCATTTGTAGACGATTTTATTTTTATCGGGTGATCGTTCCAAATCAAACATGTTTGATTTTGAACTGATGAGCCGATGAGCCGATGAGCGATTTTAAGGCCGCCGCACACCTACATCGCTTCATCGCTTCATCGTTTGAAAAATCGCTGGTGTGGCGGCGGCTTTTAATGGCGGTTGTGGACGCCATGACCTACTACGCTATGATTGGAGAGTGGTTTATCTTGTGCCTCCGGCACTATACGATCTTTGGTTTAGAGTTAGTGCTAGGGTTAGGGATAGGGTTTCTTGGTTGTCCACTGGACAATGTCTCAGACTGGTTAGGTTGTCCGGCGCAAATTCTGGTTGTCTCGGACAACCGGACAACGCTTATTTCGAGCACTGGGTATGGTAAGGTTTAGATAGTTATGATATTATATTCATAATTGTCAAAATTGTATATTTTTTATTTTTTTACTTCTAGTGTAATATCCTTGAAAAAATGAGATTTTTGTGTTATTTTTTGCTTCCTATCTTTACATAGGTCAGTGACGACAAGACAAAGGTCAAGCGGGTTACAGAGGTTGCTCAACTTGAAAATGTTGATGACTGTACAGTATACGTGGTTGGTATATTGAAGATTTATTCAGCATATATCATACTCACTGTGTGTATTTCTGATAAAGTATTGCTCAGATATATTGTTTTGTGTTTTATCGCTATGTTTATGTATGTGTATTACTTCATCAACTAGCTGTCGATCGTATGTATGTTTTGTATCTCATTGGCGTGCATATAAGGAAGAGCTAATAATATCTTATTATTAGCTTTTGATATTATTGATATTATTATTGATTATTGATTATTGATATTATTGATATTATTAGCTCTTGATATAAGTAAACAGGTTGTTTCCCTCTGTTATAGGAGAGGTTACCAAAACATGCTAACCATGATTGGGTGAAGCAGATTTTCAAGCGGTGTGGAAATGTAACATATGTCAGTATGCCAAAGTTTAAAAAGTCGAGCAATTTCAAAGGTTTCGCTTTTGTGGAATTTGATACTGCAAAGGCAGCAGAACTCGCCTGTCAGGTAATATATATGAATAGTCGCTTGTTTTCTTTTAATACATAATGAGCTAATCGCTTAGTTTAATTATTTGGTCATTTATCTGTTTATTTTGAAGCACGTGTAATGCACAAGCGCACCTGTAGGTAACATTTTAACATTTTTTACAAGTGTAGCATGTTAATTACCTCGTTACCATGCAGTCAATTAGCATCGACATATTCAGTTCCTATAATGCATTCCTATCACTTTTGCCAGACCAGTTTTATACATAACATGGATGAATTGCCTACAAATCATTTAGAAATCAATCGAGATTGACAGTGACATGCATTTCAGTATCTTTTCTGACTTGTAGGTTAATTTCAGCAAAATGGTATGAAACTGCTCACGTTCTAGCACTCTTCTTGTAAAATTTTGCTGTAAACTATCTGTCATTTGTATTCATTTACAATTGCACAGTATGCCATGTGCTATACATTACTTCTCCTTATTGGCACTTGTGATATTTCTTGAAAAGAGAGGTTGGTTTGTAATATTCTTGTCATTATTTTGTATGCAGGAACTAAATGAGCCCATCTTGAGCAGTGAAGAAACCAAATGTGACATTATTGGTATGCTTGCATGTTTTTTTACTAGCAGTAGCAGTAAGCTAGGTAGAGAAGGCGAGACAGTGTATTATCGCATTGTGATAATGTCAAGCAAAACCTGATAAAGAAATCTAAATTCATGATGACATTTCTGAGGCTGCAAGCACATCTTACTACGACATGAAAAGAACATATATTTATGATCTATGGGACTTATAAATCAATAATTTTCTCAGCGTGTCAGATTAATAATGTTGTGGTAAGAGTAACCGCCTCACCGTAAAAGCAGATAAATTTATCTGGCGAAGTCGGCTATAAGTAATCAGGGGACACAGTTATCAAAGCCCTGCACTCCGCTAGGAGCAAAAAAGGAAAACCATGTTCTGAATGTATCAATGGTAAAGGTTTAGGTTTGTGAACCTAACTGCATCGGCTTCAAAACAAAGTGGCCTGTTTATTGTTTGTGGCATCTCCGCTCTGTCTTTCTGTTCTCTCTGAAACTGTATGTAGATTTTTGTTATGTTGCAGCTCCCATTAGCAAATCACTTGATAAAGGAGATGGTGGAAATGAATCATGTGCGAAAAGAAACCTGAAGGAAGTAGAGGAGTCGGAAACCGTGAAGGTATGTGACTGTATCGGTTGAGTCACCTAATTCAACATGTTTCCAGTGTAAAACCATGGACAAATAGCACGGGTAATTCATTGTCTTGTCACATACTGAAATACAGATGCGCCAAACCAAATGTTTTGCCTATAGCCAGTATTAGCATGTACTTGATAAATTTTCTTAGGTTGTATGTAAAGCTTTCTTGATAAAATTTTAGAGGCAAGGCTGAGGTTCTGTAGCTTATCGATTGGTGATTTTCACTCCAACACCATTCTGTTTCTAATTGCAATTTTCAGGCAGACCATACGACTGAAGAGCCCAGTGCAAAACGCTTAAAACTTGATACTGAAATCAGTAGTGACCAGAGTCACTCAGAATCTAATCGTGAGTATTTGTAATGATTGTGGTAATGATTAGTAATGAAGTGGAACATTTGACGCTATACTAAGATGGATTCTGATTGAAATTTTATGTAACTGATCTTAAAATAAATCTATCCATAGCGACGAAAAAACGCTGTGGAATATCTACCTATGTTGTTTAACCGATTTTCACATGCATCTATCTATAAAACAGTGATTCAAATAGCAATCTGGTTTCTTAAACTAGATTCTTTTTTTATAAACATTTAAGGAATACCTGCAGGAAGCATATTGCGTATTCTCTAGCTTTTATTTTAATATTTGAAATAATGTTTATTTATTATAATATAAATGAACTGGTAATTTGCTATTCTAAGAATGCTAAATGTAGCTTTTAAAGTTTCTGCTCATTTTTGTAACATTTTAGTTTAATGTTGCTGTTCAATGTATTTCAATATAATATCTGTGAGCCTGTATTTAAAGGTCACACAGATCCAATCACCTCAGAAATTAAAAAGACCAGCAAGTCACACAGCTCACATAAGACTGAAGCAACTCTGGTGGAAAAAAGCAAGCCTCGAAAGCGACACAAAAGGCACAAGGAAATTCCAGAGGAGTTGCATCCTCTTAGAGTGATGCCAAAGTATAGTATATTAACTATATTGTGTAGCAGTTCGACCTAGTTACCTATGCATGCAGCTCTGCCAGCACAAGCAGTGCGGCACTGTGTGTTAATCTATCTCCATAATATTCAGAGTAGAAAGCTGCAAATAGCTTTATGCACATTTTCATATCAGATAAGCACGTGTGTAAAATTGAGCTCGAAACAGAGTGTTCAATTCACGGGTAGCGTATGAGATGGGTAGGCTAACCAGTTTTATTTTGTTTCAACACTTAAATAGCGTGATTAAAATAACAATTTCATCCATCAGTGTTGATTGTGCAGATGTGTGAAGAAGTGTTTCTCATAAGCTTTTTCGCTATAGCCTTTTTATTGGTTTATTTTACTGACTATGACATTTAGCTCTATGCTATTTTATTGTGAGTGTAATAATACCCTAACCTACCATCCTGATGTTAACCTAATATTAACTTTAGCAACCTCACCACGATCTAACACAGTGTCAACGGTTTTTATTTATATTAGTAATTGCTAAGTAGCATGAAAGCCCCCAAATGCAGACTGTGAATTCTGTTTCTAATCCCATTGAAGTTGATAACAATATTTTCACAGAAAACAGTGGTTGGAGTTCAAGGTCCAGTATCGTGCGCTGCAAAAGTTGCAGATGGCTTCTTTGAAGGAGAGCCTTCTCATCGGAAACACAAAGCCAGTGTCGAAACCACCACTAGTAGGTGAATATGCATTGTGGTGTTTTTCTACAATTGTAAATATTGTAAATAGCATTCAAAACGGTAAGTTTCATCTTCATCACTGCAGGAAGCACATGAAATAGTGTGAACTATAGTAAATGCTGGCACGGTTTAAATTTAGGTGTTGATTTATGTCTCTTTGATATATAAATGTTAAAAATTGGTATGTAGCGTAAATGAACCCCTGATTTCACTGAGAATAATGCTGAAAGCCAGAGTACTTTAATTTTTAGAATTGCTTGTAACTCCGAGAGCTCAGTGAGTGACTGCATGCAAGTACTCCTCTCCTTGCATTGCAAATGTTTTGTCTTTACCAAACATATCTTTGCACAGAGACGCCAGTGAAAGGTGCAGCACAGATGGAAAAGGCTTCAGCTTCATTGCTGCCAAATCAGCTAGACATAAAGCCTAACGTGTGTTTAAGCATCACAAGTAAAGAGCCAATTGAATCACTGAAAGAGCTAAAGGTAAGCTGATAAAATACAAATAACTGTAAAAAAAAGTGGATTGGGTGTCATTGATGAAGATGACAGAGCAAGGCTGTGTGCTGTAGCTTTACTGCCTCCGTTATATACTGAATATTTAAAGCTTATTTCGACAGAAGAGAATTGGAGAATCACAGCCTTTGTAAATAGCTAATTGGAGACATAATTGCAGGGTACTGCAGCTGATAATATACATATTTCAATACAAATTCATCAAGTTTACCTTTTATTGTCACCACCGTCATCCATTTATTACCTCCGTCAGGGGCTTGGCGGAGGTTATGTTTTCACCGGCGTGTGTTTTGAGTGTTGGTTTGTGTGTTTGTGGGTTTGTAGAGGCGCTGCGTTCGTTCATCGAGCGTTCGCATCGAGCGCTCGCTCTCCTGAACACGCCTCTGTGATGCACGCATTCCCAATGGGCTTCGGCTCCTGTGTTGCCTGACATGCTGGCTCTGGTGGATTTTTGCACCAGGGAGACATTACTCTCTGCACCGGCCATATGAAATCTCGGGTATCGCGCCTCGCATTAACCTGCGAGAGGTGATGTTTTTTTTAAATTAAATGTATTAGTGTTAATTAAATTTAATTAGGGTTAAGGTTAGGGTTAGGGTTAGGGTTAGTCAGAAATGGAGTCGAGGTTGGGAGTAATGTCTGCCCGGCAACCAACCTGCTCTGGTGACATCAATCATCATGACTGACCGCAGGCATCCCATGATGCATTCGATCTTGGAGCCGAAGTTAGCCGAACGCTATGCGTATTGGGTTAGGGTTGGGTTATATTAGTTTAATACAGAGTATTGTGATACATAGTAAGTCCCAGGATAGCGGAGAAATGTTCGTGTTTAGAATAAACCCAGTTTGGAAGTTCTAGTCTCGAAAAACGCACCATAAAACCTCCCTGAGTGAATCACTCAGGGGCTCCTCTCAAGAAAAGAATAGGCTCCCGTTGTAACCCTACTCTTGTTGGGTTACATTATTGTATCTATGTCCCAGGGATATCGAGGGGTACCCTGGGTTCGGTTCGATATATCAAAACGCACCCTGGTAACTATCTGATATGGTTAGGGTTAGGGAGTAGGCGTAGGCGACTCCCTAGACTCGTTAGTGGAGTAGGCGAGGTACGGTCCGGCTCCGGCATATTAGATAGTACCAGGGTATCCTCCGATAGTACGTTGGGGGACATAGACCCTCTCAGCCCTACTGACGCTCATAGTCATAGGGTCTATGTCTCCCTGGGTACTGCCGGAACGTACCCTGGTAACTATCTAATATGCCGGAACGTACCTCGCCTACTCCAAACCGTACCCAGTTTTCAGCCCCCTCGACCGACTGTTGGCAGGAAGCGTACCGCTTTACGACAATAGTCTAGGCTTTTTTCCGGTACATCTTTCAAAAATCTCGCATGTGCGAAAATGTCGTAAACATTACGAAAGGAAAACGCATTCCCGATCATCGCGATATTTGCAAAAAGATTGCGCGCATCAGTGTATATAGGTTGAAATTTACTTTTCATACTCCAATCCAACTTTATAAAGATATAAAGATTGGCGGTCTGTATATATATTTCAAATGTTGCGACATTAGTAGTGGGCGGAACGGGGACAGTCAGGGTACGGTGGGGAGTAAGCGAGGTACGGTCCGGCATATCAGATAATTACCAGGGTACGTTCCGGCAGTACCCAGGGAGGCATAGAAATTAATTAATAAAAAATTTCACATTGAGAGAATTCAGCTGCCTTGGCAGAGGTCTGTGCTCTCCGAGTGCTCTAGTTTGACATATTTTATGCTATTATTTACATTTTCATACTTTGCAGGTACTACTGTCTACTCGAGGATCTGTGACTTACTGTGACATCATTGAAGGGCAGACTACAGGATTTATTCGCTGCCCTGATGAAGAAAGTGCGGCAAAGTTGGCATCGTCTTCATCATTGAAAGAAGTCTATGACCTACAAGTGCTCTCAGGTGCAAATTGCTATAAATCCCAACTTCGTTACCGATCATCAGTAGGCTGATCGAATGGCAGTAACACAGGCAGTAGTGATTTATATCCTCGTGTAGTAATACCACTTCATAGAAATACATATAACAATGGCTTATACAAGATTACTAGGCAATTCTAGTGTATATAATTTTTCTGTCATGCTGTGCAACTTATTTCATAATCAGCATCCTTGCCTTCACATGTTATTAATATTTATAATTATACCTATTTTAGGGGAGGATGAACAAAACTACTGGAAGAAAATTGAAGCAGATAGACAAGCCAGATATGCAAAGAAGCAAAATCTCAAATTCAGAGGAAAGGATAAGGTAATATCACATCAGAAAAAAAAAATTCGGTGACTAAATAGGTGCTGTTATTCCAGACTAACTTGCTTCCATTTCATCGTATTGTTGCACGTGTGCGTCTATAAATTAGTGCATAGTTCCAGTTTTCCAAGTGGATAACTAGAATCATAAAAGTGTTCATGTTATTTCAATTCACTTCATTTCGTTCAATTTCTTCATGATAATCACATGACTAATTTTTTATAATATAAAAAACACCCGTATTGCTTCAGGTTATCCATAAAATTGAATTGGAGACCAGCAAGCGAAAACACATTCACTTTGAGTAAGTATATGCAACAGTTTGGAAGGATCAGCCATTAAAACATGGAGATTAATTCATTTCATGCTCAGCACATCATTATGGCTTAATCGATCTATGTCAGTATCGTGTATATGGCTTCATGATGGGTATAGTGTGAATACTTTTTATTCCCAACCCATACCACATATTAGTTAGTGAGACTACCATCTTGTCAACGTCTGTATTTGTGGTCAGAGTGTTGATGGTTGTTATTGTTAGTAAACTGGAAACTTCAATCGTTCATTCTCTGTTGATTGTGTAATAGCTGGGCTGTAGCATTCAGCCAAAAATGTTATGCGACCAAGCCTATGATCACAACTGTGACTGTTAATGGTCAATGTGAAATTAATATTCAAATTTAAGAGTTTGTTTTGGCAATTATGAGTAGGTAAGATCCTACTTACTGGTCTAAGCACATAATACACTTTTCAACTTTTTATTTTTTGTTTAACCTTTCAAAGCAATAGTGTGTTAAATACTGTAATTGCTCTCACCAATAGTGTAATATTCTGAAATTTGGCCATACGTTTTCATAAGATCCCAATGTTGTGTAGTTTTACAAATCCATTTAAACTACTGTCATGTTCGTCTAGGCCCTAGGGTTTATTATTATTACGTTCACAATACGTGTTAAATACTGTAATTGCAGTAACCTCTCACCTATAGTTTAATATTCTGAAATTTGGCCATACGTTTTCATAAGATCCCAATGTTGTGTAGTTTTACAAATCCATTTAAACCTTGTATTGATTGTCAGTCAGCTGCAATGTTCTAGCAAATTTCACTAGCTGGCTCAGCGTAAGTTTTGGATCNAAAATGCTTGGGGCGTTGAGGTAGCTGAATAACCCGCGGATGCGAGGCGGCGTGAGGCATGTGGAGGGAGGTTTAGGAGCCAATATTCTCAGCCTAGGAGTCCATCGTATTGACAAGACGCGTTGGTTCTTGTTTTAGAAGAGCAAGAATTCTGCTTAATGCAATACCATAAAATTATGTCAGACTCGCAGGCAAAGTAGAATAATGTTGTCGTGAAATAGCACTATTCCGCTTTTTCCGTTGTACACTCTAGTATATTAGCTTCTTGAATGATCAAGGTCAAGGTAAAGGTTGAAATAAAGTCGCAGTGACCTGCGTGGGCAGTTTTTACCCGATCTCGGATCATCTTCAAATTTGGCATGAAGGTGCGTTATGGTAAAGCCAAAGACGCCAATCGTTTTTTGTGTGGGCGGAGTCTCTGTTGCCATGGTAACAACATTTTTGTTGGAAATATTGTAGAACCTGTAACTTGTGCTGTTTTTACCCGATGTGTCATGGAATTTGGCACACAGGCCGATAAACATGTCCTATATATATATATGTATTAATATATATATATATATTGATGACAATCATAATTGTAAATATAAATTTAAATACAAATTAATACAAATATTTAATTTTTAATTTTAATTTTTAATTAAATTTTTTTTAATTTTTAAATGTTAATATTTAATATCAATTTAAATATAAATCTTCTAATACAATATAAATTTATGACAATCCGGGTAAACAAGTGCAGAAGTTACAGTCTCTAGAATATTTGCAACAACAAATTGGTTTACCATGCAGAACACGATGACTCCGCCCACACAAAAACAATAATGCGTCTCGCTTACGAAACGCACCCTTCATGCGCAAATTTGCAAGATGAATCAGAGAAGAACTGCAGCGCGTAGAGCGTCACAAGGAAATCCTCTGCTGCGGGGCGGCGCGACGATGCCAAACCCATAGATACCCCACGAACTTTTCGTTCAGGGATCAATATATCAACTCACAAACTTAGGAGCATGACATATCTGCGGATGAGCAAAAGCTTTTACATAAAGAAAAAAACAGATCTGCATTATTAAATTCGCAAATAAAGCAGCCGAAGTGTTAATGCACCCGCAAGGAATTAACAGCTTCATTAATGATCAGCTAGGAAAGTAAGTTCCGTGACAACGAAACTGCCCATGTATCAAGTAAATAACTCATTGCGTAACAACCGATCGAATTAATACAGCGTCAGTCTGGATTAATCTTGCAATTTCCCTGCACTGCATGGCCCTCTTTTGTTTGCATGACAGAGTTCGGCGGATTAGCTGGTCTTCCTCGGCCTCCCAGGCACAGCCTTCGCTCGGCCTTCCCAGCAGCCTCCCTCGGCCCTCCCAGGCAGCCTCCTCGGGCCTCCAGCAGTCTCCCTGCGGCCTTCCGACAGGCAGCCTCTCCGGCCTTCCCACGGCAGCCTCCCTGGGCCTTCCCTAGGCCAGCCCCCTCGGGCCTTCCCAGGGAGCCTCCCGCGGGCCTTCCCAGGCAGCCTTCCCTCGGACCTCCGCACCCCGGGTTCCAGGCACCTCCCTCGGTTCCCACGCCTTCCAGGCAGCCTCCCTCGGGCCTTCCAGGCATCTCTCCCTCGGCCGTCCACGCCTCGGCCGCAGGCAGCCTCCCCGCGGCCTAGGCTCTCCCGCGGCCTTCGACCAGACAAGCCCCCTCATACATCCATACATAATACTCACAATCTGCATTGACCACGCTTTCATTAATCTACCATCATTATCCGTATTCATTCATAGATGCTGATTAAATCTGCGTAGACATTTTTGGATAGTTGTAATTAATTGTCCGTACGAACAGGCTCGACGTCACGCTGTGGCCATGGTGAGAATTCTGAAAAGCGGAGCAACACGCGGGCGTTGTGCTAAAGACATCTTCTTATTAGCCGCGCCATAATTAACTGCTAGTCACCCTGGTTTTCCGCGACTTAATTAGTGCTTACTTGTGCAAACGCTGTAGATACATGCATATAGAGGCACGCGGTTGCTAAGTGTGAGTCCAGGGCAGACGTGCAATTACTAGAAGATTCATTTTGGCATGCCATAGAGCGCGTTCAGCTTCCCCGAACACTTTCCAACGCCCACAGCCAATACAAGCAAGACACTGTCGACATTACCGTCCCAGCATGCATGCCGCCTAGCAGTCGCTGATCAGCTAGTAAGTCAGCTAACTGTTTAAAGTCCTGCTTATGTATTGAAGTCGGCCCACTGTTTAAAGTCCTGCCTATTAGAAGTCAGGCTCACTGTTTAAAGTTCCTGCTTATTTATGAAGTCAGGCTCACTGTTAAAGTCACTGCATTTGAATTCAGTGGCTCACTGCTTAAAGTCCTGCCTTGGTAGTGAGTCAGGCCTCACCTGTTTAAAGTGCCTGCTTATTTATGAAGTCAGGCCCTTCCACTGTTAAAGTCTGCTTATTTATGAAGTCAGGCGCACTGTTTAAAGTCCTGCTGGTAGTGAAGTCAGGCTCACTGTTTTAAAGTCCTGCTGTATTATGAAGTCATGGCTCACTGCTTAAAATCCTGCTTATTTATGCAAGTCCAGGCCTCACTAGTGTTAAAGCTCCTGCTTTTTTATGAAGTCAGGCTCACTGATTTATAAGTCCTGCTTATTTATGAAGTCAGGCTCACCTGGTTTAAAGTCCTGCTTAGTTTCATGAATTCAGGGCCTCACTGTTAAAGTCCTGCTTATTTATGAAGTCAGGCCTCACTGGGTTGAAGTGGTCTTGAGTCCCGCGCATTCAGTAGATTCTGTGTTTAAACACCCAGATAATAATGTTCAAGCTCAGACATCGCCTAACGCGTGCTCACTTCCGATGCAATCACCGACGTGCTGTCGCTGCACCGGCACGAAGCCCCACACAAGATGCCGGAGTTTTGCTGACAATGTGACGGCGCGTGCGACAACTGCTCACCCCAGCTTTGTACAATTATGGACCGCTGTCGACACACCGCGTCCGTCGCCGTCCCCGTTCGATCCATCTCGATCATCGGACGCTCGCCATCGTCTTCAACCTGCCCGTCATCCTCGCCATCTGCAGGTATCCGTTCGCGCCCACCTCCATTGCTCGTGTCTCGTTCGGCAGCCCTGGGCGACGCCAGACCTGCTCGCCAGCTCCCTCTGGCTGATAACGTCTGCTTTGTGCAGCTCGTGAGAAAGAAGCTTAGGGTCCTTGACGGGACATCCAACATTGTCTTGATTGCATCTGGTCGGGGGGAAAGCGTGCAAGCTTCTGCGCTGTGGTCCGTATCGCCTACGGAGAAAACCTCTCCGTTTGTGATAGCTACTCGACCGCTTCATGGCCGTGCTGAAGCCGATGCACGACACGGCGGTACATGACGCCGACCAAAATGCGGGCATCGTCGCACCCAGTGGGACAATGAGTCTGTGCGTCGCGCGCCTCGTGCTTCCTCCTGCTGAGCTTCGCGCGCCGGCGCCGCCTCGCCCTTACAACGATCATCGTCTACTGCTTGGATGTTCACGATCTCCGCTAGTGTGTCACGTGGCTCGCAGCGACGTGCGCCATCTACGCTAAAAGCTCTTACGGCTGCTACGCGCGCCACCGACGCAACTTGGCGATGCTGGCGCAGCGCCAGCCGCCGCAGAACGACGCACGGCTAGCGTGGGGCCTCCTCATGTGCCGCTGTGTCTACGCTGCGTGCTTCGCGCCGTTTCTCTCGCCATGCATCTGATATCGTTCTGTTCGTGGCGCTACGGCCAGCGACAGCCTACTTCTACGTAAAGAGGCGCGCCGTGTGGACGTCTAGCGATGCGGCCTTACCGAGGTTCTACCTGCATCTGCGGTGGCCGCAGCCACCGCCGCTGCTCAACGCTCTTCTGTATGCCTTGCGTCGCTGCCGCAGGCTCAGCGCGGCCCTTCACCAGATCTGCTGCCTGCCTAACAGTATGTTGCCTGGAAGCAGCGTAAACACGTCAACCGAGCAGCCAACCGCCACAGAATCAGGACTGTCATTGGTGTGACAAACTAGGCGGGCGAGGACGCGCCGTGACTTAATTTTGCCCACGGATCATTTTGACAACAGTCCCTTGTGTGTTATGTGCATCTGTATCTTAGCCACACAATGGGAGATTCGGTAGACTTATAGCGTGGCGTACGCCCATTGCTACGCATTGCAGGTCTGAATGTATGATAATTGCAGACTTTTGGAGATTTTCCCAGATGGCTGTATTTCCTATACCCAAGAAGCCAAACTATAAACAGAGCTTGCACAAACATATGATTAATCTAGGATTTTCAAATGTTATATCATCTATATAATAATCTGAGTAGTGTTCTTTCTGTTCTAGTTTCCTGCCATGACTTATAGCCGCGCGTGCACGAAATCCGGGCTGAAATTTTTCGTGCTTCATTCCTACGCCCATCACGTTCGATTTCTAACACTTATCTTTTTGTTATTTCTTGGATTTAAGGTGTAAAAAAAACACATATTTAGAAAATCTATTGGAAAAATCTCCCCTTGGAAAACATGCACGATTCAGTTCACTTTCAAGCTAGGTGCCGCCTGCGCGCCTTAAACTTAACAAATACATAGATATTTATATACAACACGTGTTGCTATATATCTATGCAAATATCAAACGACAGACTGATTTCACAGACTATAATGATTACAGCTAGTCTATGACGTAAATGTCAGTGGTTACGCTGGGCCACGCAATGGCTGCAGTTATCAAGTCCTGCCACACCACATTTGCTTCGCTGCCTAAGCCATACCATGTCAATACTATTACCCATAACATATATCATAATACCCATACACGATCTATATATTTTATGTATGTATATATAATATATTATAAATATGGCGATGTCGTGCGTGCGATGCCGTACGTATGTCGTGTGTCGTGTATTTGTGTTGTTGAGCCGTGTGGTGTGTGTGCTGAGCTGTGTGTGTTGTGTGTGTATTTGTGTGTGAGCGTGTGTGTGTGTGTGTTATAAA